ATCAAGCTCTGTGAATGTTGTGTAGAGATATGGAGAAATCCTCAAAAAGAAAGAGCTAAAGAAAATGGCAGGGATTGCCCCTCGGGAGTATAGCTGAAAGTAGAAAGACATGGATCAAGGAGTCTTACTTTTAATCACAGGGCATATGTGCTATTTGAATTATTTGACAAAAGTATAAAAATATGGAATTATGCATTTGTGTGTGTGGTTTAGTCTGTTTAAGAAATATGTGACAGAGGCTGTCCTATCATCAGGAAATCATTCCATTTCACAGAACAGAAAAGACTGAAGAATTGAGAGTAGAACTAATTACTAAGGTTGCTTCCTTTGACCAAATAGGTCAGAGTTTGAATGAAAGAAACATGGAGTGAATGAATTTTTATAAGACCTAAGAAGAATATTTCATAAGCCACATTTTTCCTTTTGATTCTTCCTGTTCTGATGTCTTCCTTCTACATTCATTTCCTGACTCCTGAACTCTGATGGCTACAGAAAGTTCTCCCTTCCTGCCTATAAAAGAGAAATTCTTAAGCCAAGCTGTTTTTTTCTATGGCAAATTTGACATAGACATTGGAATATTTCCCCTGAATTTATGAATAGGCAAGGTAGGAGAAAGTCAAGAAATGCAATTACTCTTAAAAATGACATATCCAAAATAGGCCAAGAACACAGAAAATTTTTCCACTCTGCAGCCTGAATATCATAATAAATAGGGGCTTTGGGTGGGAAGGTCTGATTTTAAATTTCAGTAATTCCCAAACCCTGAACCTCAGTTCTAGCATCTGTAATAATGGATAACAATTTCTATGCCACAGGTTTCATTAGTAATGAATTAAACAATAAATAAAAAGTAATTAACCTACTATTTAGCATACAGAAAACATTCAACATAGCTGTTTCTCTGCTATCATAAATTTCTCTCTCACAACTATATTCTTCTTAATGTCTACAGTCATATAAATAATATTAAAACATATCTATACATATTTATAGTTATTCAATATAGGTAAAATAATTTCACTCTCAAGCAATTATGTACTTCTTTTGGTGGTAGATAAGCATTTTGAAGGCAAGAAGCAGATTTAATAATTCTTTTATAACTTTATATAAGATGCATGCTAATTCTATTAATATATTTGAATAAATGTATTTGGTATTTCACTTAATGAGAGGCATGAGCTCTTATCATCCCACTTTACAGATGAGGAGACTACAGTATAGAGTGGTTAATAAACTGACCAAGGTAACACCACTAGAAGGTGGCAGAAGATAGATTTGAGGGATTTGAACCTAGATTTGTCTGTATCCAGAGTCCATATATCTACCATGCTGTATTGCCTTCACTCCTAAAACATAGCAGAAATGTCAGTTTCATGCTTATTTTTAAAGTGAATTCCAGAAGTATGCTCCCTGCTTTTAATGTACACATCCACATTTAATCTATCACCAAATTATATTTATTTTCACTTGTATGTAACTCTCAAATTCTTTCATTTCTCATCATCCTTGCCCTATTACCTTCATCCAGGCTGCCCTTGTCCTTGGCTCAAATAACTGTGTTAGCCTCTTAAAAGGTCACTAAGCCTTCATTATTGCAGTCTTCATTCCTTTTCAACACTGTAGCAGAGATATACTATATCCTAAAACTCAAGTCTGTTCTTGGAACACTTCAGTGACTCCACATTGCAATGAAGAAGCTCCAACTCTTCAATTCCACCCAATCCCAGCACTCTCCAATTCTAGTACGGTGTGCTCCATGAAAGTAGCAACCCTCTCCAGCTTCCATAGGAGGGTTTTGTACATTTTGGTTATTCAGTAAACCTTTGGTGACGGCATTGAATAAACATCGTTTCCATTCCTGTTTATATTCCTGCACTTGCCCATACCTTTACTTCAGCTATCATGAACTTTGTTCAGATACTGAAAATCACCAAGAAGAGAAACAGGTATCAGAAGCATACAATGCTAAAACCAAGAAAGGTAAGCCCCAGACAATCCATTAATACCAGGAGAGCTGAGGCTAGTGACAGGACAGCTAGGATGGCCAAACAAAGACGTACTTGGGAATAAAAAGAAAATGTTCACAAGGCAAACAGGAGTTGAGGCCCACATCATCAGCCACAAGGATTAAACCTCAAGAATGAAGTTAGTCTGTTGTGTCCTATCTTTAGTGACATTTATATTTCTTTTATCTTCCATAGTTCTCATCTATACTTCTCTTACATTGGGAAAGCTATAGAATAAATCAAGTAGCTATTAAGTGATTATGTGTCAGGCATTTTGCTAGAAATTAGGGTACAAGTCTAGACAGCATTAGGCATTCCCCCCAGGAAGGTTACAGTCTATGTAGGAAGTAGACATGGATTATCTCAATACAATAGAATAAAGACTATACTAAATTTTTTTTGCTGCTGAGCAAAGAAGGGGCACTTTGCCAAAGACAAGTTCTCACAGAGAGAGATTTCATCACAGTTTCTATAAATGTCTATTGATTTTGCCTATGTCAACAAGATAACTAAACCCGCAGACAGTCTGCATGTTTTCTGGAGACGTGTCAGTATATATGTGTGGCATGTTAACAGTCATATAAAACATTTTTTTTTTATTTGGATATTTACTTCTTTGGTTTACAATGCCTTTTTTTTTTTTTTTTTTTTATGGCTAAAATGCTGAATACTTGCCAAAGTCATAGTAGAATTCTTCACTTTGTTTGACAGGCTGAAGACCAAATTTGTGAGTGTCAAACATAGTCTGAGTTTGTTGTCTAATGTCATTTCACTTATGTTTTCTGAAGAAATTTGTTTTTCTCCAGCAAGAAATCTCTATTTTAAACAGTCATCTGCCGATTCTGCTATACCAGCAGTTAGGCTCTTCTGTTTCTTTCCTCTCAATTTCTACATCATTCTGAAGGGAAAAAAAAAAAAATCATAAGGGGCAGGGGTTCAAATCGTATAAGAGCAACTAGTTCTCTCCTATAATAATCCCAAATTGACTATAAATTCTACCCAAATCTCTTCACCTATATACCATAATATTGAATGGGAAGTTATTCAGAACTCACAGTTGCAACTCCTAGGAACAGTGGTATATCGAGGGTTGCAAAGGAGGTGGAGACGTGAAAGCACCCCACCCCAGGTATAGGCAGTAACAGCATTGGCTGTAGGAAATTTAAAGAAATAATAAAACAGACTAAACACAGGTCTGCTTTTTATTGTCAGAATGTATTTCATTCTAAACAAGCTCAGTGGTTAAATACTCCTCCCTCCTCAATTGGAACACTCTGCCTGTGCCAAACCCTCCCTACAAAGTTCCCTTCTCACCGCCTATGTCTCTTTCTCCTTTACCCTGCTTGCCAAAGGACACTGTTACCAGAACTCCAGAATATTGTGCTCTTCTACTGCTGTTTTCTTTATAGTGATATGAATGTTGATATCTGATAATGCAAGGATAAATACAGAGCCCCATTAAGTGGCGAAATCCCAATTGCTTCCTCGTTAGATGCCTCTTTACTGGTGAGTGTGATGTTCACTTTTGCTCAAGAAAAGGCTTCATCAAACTTTTTCATTTGTCAAACTCTGATGAGAGAACTGCCTTGTCAGGAAACAGGATTCATTTTCATGGTTAGGACTATGCAAGGTAATTAATGAGAAACTCACCCTTAATAAGCAGCTTTCTCTCTGGGTACAGTAACACCACCAAAACCTCAGTTTGGTAGCCAGCAACCCAATTTTAATATAAGCACATACTTTTAGGAAAATAATGTAATTTCATAACAAACATTAAGAGAGACATATATTCTGGTTCATCTAGAAGAAAGAGATACATTGCTAGAGTACTTTGAAGAGGGCCGTCTTAAAAACATTTCAGAAAAAAAGAGTTTCTGCTGGGAGAAAAGTAAACAAGGAAGAAGAAAATGAAAAAAGAAAAGAATAAAAAGCTGTAGAAAGTCCGTCAGTTATGTTATAGATTAAAACTTATCAACTTGTATTACTATTGGATTTAAGAAAAAAAAAAAATCTAAAAGTGCTTTTTAAAAATGTGTTCTGGCTGGGCGCAGTGGCTCACGCCTGTAATCCCAGCACTTTGGGAGGCCGAGGCGGGTGGACACGAGGTCAAGAGATCGAGACCATCCTGGTCAACACGGTGAAACCCCGTCTCTACTAAAACTACAAAAAATCAGCTGGGCATGGTGGTGCGTGCCTGTAATCCCAGCTACTCAGGAGGCTGAGGCAGGAGAATTGCCTGAACCCAGGAGGCGGAGATTGCGGTGTGTCGAGATCGCGCCATTGCACTCCAGCCTGGGTAACATGAGTGAAACTCCGTCTCAAAAAAAATAAATAAATAAAAATAAAATAGGGTCTAGTTAAAAAAAAAAAAAGTGTTCTACTTCTTCCCAAATTAGAAAAATATTTACTTAAATAATTAAAAATTGAATGTGCACAAAGCAGCATGTCATCTTTGTGCATTGACCCAATAAGATTCTACACTATACTATAATTTGACAGGCAGTAATCTTCAGTCCAGCTATTCCTCTGTGGTCACAATATTCCAAGTATTTTTTCAGATTCTATCTTTTTCTAGACCGATACCTCGTGTTCTTGAGTGGTGGGCCACTCCCAATCCTCAATAACTCTGTGTTTAATATTGTGCAAATACATGAATCACCAGGGAAGACAGACTGAGACTTGAGTAGGGAATCAGAGCTGCTCTTTGTTAAGATGTGTCAAACCTAGCAAAGGAATCCCAGGAAATTAAAGTCTAGAACATCATAAAATCACAGCTGGAGAAAAGTTAATCATCACCTAGTTCAGTTCTATTACAGGTACACCTCACGTTATTGAACTTTATTTTATTGTGCTTCACAGATGTTGTGTTTTTTTCCTACAAACCTTCAATTTGTAGGAACCCTGTGTTAAACAAGATTATTGGTGTCGTTTTTCCAACAGCATGTACTCACTTTGAGTCTTGATGTCACACTTTAAACTTTTAAATTAATATTATGTCTGTTATGGTCATCTGTGATCAGTGGTCTTTGATGTTGCTATTGTTAATTGTTTTGGGGTGCCATGAACTGCACCCTACAAGATTGCAAACTTAAATTACTGTGTGTGTTCTGAATGCTCCACCACCCAGAGGCTCCTTCATTTCTCTCTCTCTCTCTTTTTCTCTCTCTCTCTCTCTTTCTCTCTCATCAAGTCTGCCTATTCCCCTGAGATACAACAATATTGAAATTAGGCTAGTTAATAACCTAAATGGCCTCTAAGTATTCAAGTGAAAGGAAGAGTGGAACATTTCTCACTTTAAATCAAAAGCTAAAAATGATTAAGCTTAGTGTGGAAGGCATGTCAACAGTTGAGTCAGGCTGGAAGCTAGGCTGAGAGAAGTGAAGATGCTTCAGGAAAATATCTTGAAGCTATCAGAGGTTGTTTCATGAGGTTTAAGAAGCCATCTCCATGGAAATGCAAAGTGAAGCAGCAAGTATTAATAAAAAAGCTGTAGTTAAGTCATCCAAGTATCTGGCTAAGATAATAAATGCAAGTGGAAACACTAAAAAACAAATTTTCAGTGTAGACAAAGCAGTTTTATACTAGAAGAATAAACCATCTAAGACTTTCATAGCCAGAGAGGAGTCAAGGTCCTGCTTTGAAGCTTCAGAGGACAGGCTGATGTTCTTGTTAGGAGCAGATATGTCTGATGGCACACTGATCATTCCCAAAATTCTAGAGCCCTTAAGAATTATCTAAATCTACTACACCTGTGCTAAATAAATGATGCAACAAAGCCTGGATAATAGCACATCTGTTTACAGTATACTTCACAGAACATTTTAAGCCAGGTGTTGAGACCTATGGCTTAGAAAAGGAGTCCTTTCAAAATGTTACTACTCAGTTGTTAAGGCAGACTGAATATGGCCTGAGAAGGACTCCATATGTCTATATTTGAGTCTTTGTGGATGAACTGTAATAGCTTAATAGACAAAATTGAAAACCTAACTTAATAATATGCACCCATAACTATAGCTGAGTGCTGGCCAATCCCAGTGGCCATACTTCAACCACTGATAGGCTGCTGGGTGTTAAAACTGCATTCAAATAAGGCAAATGCAGAGCTGCAACCGATCTCACTGTTTCTGTACCTCACTTCTGATTCTTGTGTGTCACTTTACCTTTTTTCTTTATAAATTTGTTCTGAGCATGAGGCATCCCTGGAGTCTCTGTGAATCTGCCATGATTCTGGGGGCTGCCCATTCGTGAATCATTCATTGGTCAATTAAACTCCTTTCAATTTAATTTGGATCAAGTTTATCACACTGAAAATGCACCTGGTTATCCAAGAGCTCTGATGGAATTGTACAAGAAGATGATAGTTGTTTTCATGCCTGCTAATACAACATCCATTCTTCAGCCCAGGAATCAAGGAGTAATTCTGACCCTCAAGTCTTATTATTTAAGAAATACATCCTGTAAGGCTCTAGCTGCCATAGATAGTGATTCCTCTGATGAATCTGGGCAAAGTAAACTGAAAACCTTCTGAAAAGAATTCACTATTCTGGATCCCTTAGAACTTTTATGATTTATGGGAGGAGGGCAAAATATCATCATCAAGAGGAGTTTGGAAGAAGTTGATTCCAACCCTTACAGATAACACTGAGGAATTTAAGACTTCAGTGGGGCCGGGCGCGGTGGCTCAGGCCTGTAATCGCAGCTCTTTGGGAGGCCGAGGCGGGTGGATCACAAGGTCAAGAGATCGAGACCATCCTGGTCAACATGGTGAAACCCCGTCTCTACTAAAAATACAAAAAATCAGCTGGGCATGGTGGCGCGTGCCTGTAATCCCAGCTACTCAGGAGGCTGAGGCAGGAGAATTGCCTGAACCCAGGAGGCGGAGATTGCGGTGTGTCGAGATCGCGCCATTGCACTCCAGCCTGGGTAACGAGAGCGAAACTCCGTCTCAAAAAAAAAAAAAAAAAAAAAAAAAAAAAAAAGACTTCAGTGGATGAAGCAACAGTAGATGTGGTAAAAATAGCAAAAGAATTAGAATTAGAAGTGAAGGCTGAAGATGGGACTGAATTGCTGCAATCTCAAAATAAAATTTTAATGGACGAAGAGTTGTTTTATATAGATGGGCAAAGAAAGTGGTTTATTGAGATGGCATCTACTGGTGAAAATGCTGTGAATATAGTTGAAGTGACAACAAAAGATTTAGAACATTATATAAATTTAGTTGATAAAGTAGCACAGGTTTTGAGAGGATTGACTCCAATTTTGAAAAAAGTTCCACAGTGGGTATAATGTGATCAAACAACATTGCATGGTACAGAGAAATCTTTCATGAAAGGAAAAGCCAAGGGCAGTGGCAAACATCACTGTTGTCTTATTTTAAGAAATTTCCACAACCACTGTAACTTCAGCAACAACCACCCTGAGCAGTCAGCAGCCATCAACATCATGACAAGACCTTCTACTGGTGAACTTGCTGAAATCTTAAATGATCATTAGCATTTTCAGCAATAAAGGATTTCTTAATTAAGCTAAGTACATTTTTAAATGTAATACTATTGACACATAATAGACTGTGGTACAGTGTAAAGATAATTTTTCCATGCACTGGGAAACCAAAAAATTTGTGTGACTTGCTTTATTACAATAGCTGCTTTATTGTGATGGTCTGGAAATGAACCCGTAATTTTTCAGAGATACAAAATATAAATGTTTTATATTTAAAATGTTTCAGTTTGTACATATAAATCTAAGGTTTATTGACATAGAATGATTTGACCAAGGTGATATAGTGGTCAAGCAGTTAAGTGGTTAAATTAACTAGTACAAAAAGAAAAAGAAAACAAGCACTTGATTGTCTGAAATCTTTTCCAGAAGTTTAATTACTTTCCACCATAAAAAAACTACTTTTGAAGAAAATTCCATACTTATGATTCACTTATAAATGGGACAAAATTGTCTACAGTCTTTTCTTTTTAATTTTTATACATATAGTTGGATATTTTACCATTAGAAGAAGAATGATGTTTATCATAGGTTTTAAGCAAACACATGCAACAACGTGGCAATAAGAATGAATCTATGAGTCATCTTTGATGTACACTCTTAAATAAGGTGAATTTTAGGTTATCAATTAATGCAAATCCTATCTAAACTTTTTATTACTTTAAGAAAACATGTTTGCATTGGAATCCTTAAATCACTGACTTTTATCTCATAAAGATATAATGACTAGAGATAATAGATTTTCCAGGTGATAATATATATGTTTATATCCTATTTAAATAAAGATAATTTTTTAAAATATCAGATATCATTGGACTTTCTTACTGTACCATTATGAAGCTTTTTAACATAAATGAATTAAAAATCAGTAAGACAATTCATTTGCCAGATTATAGTTCTATTTTCCATTTAGAAAGCAGTCTCCGGAAGCAAATTTTCTTCATATTAAAGTTAGTGTTAGCTACCGAAGACCCAAACATACCATCTTATCGTGGTTCTTCCTAAAGAAACCATTTTAAAACAAAACAAAAAAGTAAAATAAACCCTGCATAAGCTCCCCCATGACAATGTGCTCAGAGAGGAGGCTGGCCCCATTCCCAGCACCAGTGTGAGTCCAGATTGGCCTCAGCCAATTACCACATTATCATTCCTCTCACCAGTGATTGATTTAGACATGGGCATGGGAAATGAGACTTAAGAGGAAATCTGCTGGAGGCCTTCTGGGAAAAGCTTCTTTACTTTTGCAAGACACAACTGCTGAGGCAGCGTCTTCTGGGAATCTTGTCTGTCTGTGTGTGTTGCCTGTGGAGCAAGCATGATCACAGAGCTCAAGCTCTGGGCATGGGCAAGGCCAGAGGAAAAGAACCTGGACTCTTAATGACACTCTTGAATCTCTAAATTAACAAGCTTTATAACTCCTGTTCTTGTGGACATCTTGTTATGTGAGATAAGAAATGTTCTTATTCAAACCAGTTACAGCTGGAGACATCCAAAATGCCAAAGACCAAAACTGCCTCTAAAACATAAAACGTTATCTCTCGGATACGCCCTTCTGCATACAAGAAGCCTGAGCCAAGCGATGAGGCTAATCCCTGGCAAACTCCTTAAAACTATCACAGAGGAAGGTCAAAGAGCATTTCCTTAAAACCCACAAGCCAGCACTGCTTGAGATGGCAGTGGCAGAACAAGTCTGATGTAAAATGACAAAAGGAGGTCAGATGATAGTCTTCAGCTCAGAAACAGGACTGAAGGTAAACAGGGCAAGAGAATCCAGAAAGAGGGTGAGAGAATTTGCTGCCTGATCATCAAGCTCATCTGCTCTTCTCCTAGGCGCACAGTTAAACTGCATTTTTCAGCCTCCCTGGAGGTTAAGTGTAAATCGGAGAGAGGCATGAAAAAGTGATGTTTTTCATACATTTCAGAAGAAGCCATAAAAACCTCCCAGGTTGCCAACTATAGGCTCTTTTCCTATTTGCAACTCGTAGACTAGGAAATGACCTCAAGAAGGTCTTTGAAGTCAACGGTGGAAGGTGGATGAATGACTTTGTGGATGAATCCAGGCCTGAGCTTGACTCCTTTCGTGGATGACCAGAAATATCCACAAGGGACTGCCAACCTTGAACAAGATAAAAACTTTGTTTTATTCCACTGAGCTTTGGAGACTTAGCACGTTTGAATAGTTAGAATTCGTAATATTACAGCAGTAATTAATACGGCAAACTTACCAAGGTTTTGTGAATACCGATGAGTGAACTGAACAAGTAAATAAATGTAATATATAATTATAAATAAACAGGACCAGATAATTAGGTGTCTTTTGTAAAACACTTAGGAAGTAAAGTATGGAGTTGGCCTAGAACTCAGGTATTCCATGTCCAAGTCCTGGTTTCTCTGGCGTCCCATCCTGCAAAAGTACAAGCTAATAAGTCCCAACTTGATTCTAAGTCTTGAAAACTCATACTGACCAAGATATGTCAGAAAATATGAATTCTGTTTGAACTAAACAGAACCAATTAATGTGTTGTTACTAATTGGTCCGTAAATGCACTGCTTTCAGCTTTATATTAAGCCGCATTTTAAATCAGATTCTCAATAACTACCATGTAACTGATATCCACTGACATTTTAGTGAAAATTAACCTTCTATGGGCTAATCTGGAATATTGCTAACATTTCCTTCTTTTTAGCATATAACTTATCTTACTAATGAATCCCTAATAGTATTTGGCATTGACTTTTCACAGTATAAAAATTGAGCAATCATGCTTTTCTTCCTTATCTTAAAAAATTTTCCTTATAAAAATTAATATATTTTTATTACAGAAAAACAATCTTTAAATCATTGATAGAGCCAGACTTTTTATTGTTGAAATGGGAGGTTGCAGGAAAACAAGGGAAAGGGGCTACAATAATCTATGTAGCAATAGATTAGAGCTGGAGTCATCAATATAAACTCCTAGTTAGCTTAATATAGGTACAGGTAGTTATGTAAAAATCATTACAGGTACACAACACACACATATATAGATAAGTATACATCCATGTAACTTCCTTGCTTTGTCAGAGATTAGAAGCAATGATACCTCAATAACAGCCATCATATCTAGCACACAGATTTTTGTTTGTAGTACCATTCTCGGATAAAACAAGCAAAGGCTGCTTGGAGAAGTGGCTGATTCTAGGACTGGTATAGATCAGATACACAAGATGAGCCTGCAGCATTATGTAGTACCAGGAAGTAGTAATATTTCTGGAAAAGAAAAAAAATATCCTGCAATAATGGAATATCAAAGGGACCCAGGAGGCAATTGAAAGAGCTCCTTTCAGTGGCCAAAACTGGAACAATTTAAACAAGAAAGTAGTTTCCGATTATATCTCAAAGTAAAAAAGAAACATCCAGAAATATCCATGAGTCCATAGCAATATAAATAAAAGACTGGCTGGCTGAATAAATGAATAAATAGGGAAGATAGACAAATATCTTGTGCTCAAGATTTCCAAATTACATAGATTCCAATCTTAAGGAGGAAGGAGATACAGCCTAACTCTCCACTCCTTAAGTGTAAGCTGCATTTTGTGACTTCTGTCCAAAAAATGCAGTATGGAGGATAGTAAAAGGTTAACTTTACAGTGGAGAAACCTGAAAATGCTACTGCAGTTGAGTGCTCAAGGTTCACATCAACAGTGATAAGTCACTTTGATACAATGCACCCTTGATATGATGTGATGAAAATGGCACTTACCTCTGGGTTCTCCCTCCCCAAAATCTCCTAGCCCCAGTCAAATCATGATAAGAACATCAGAAAATTCCCAATTGAGGAACATTCCACTAAATATCTGACCAATACTTCGGAAAACTTTCAAACTCATCAAAAATGAGGAAAGTCTGAGCAACTGTCATAGCCAAAAGGGTCTTAAAGAGACAAGACAACTAAAAGCAATGTAGTATCCAGGATATTAATATTGTATTAATGTTGGTTCATTAATTATAAAAATTTACCAAACTAATGTAAGATGTTAATAACAGGGGAAACTGGGTGTAGGTTATAAGGAAACTTTCTACACTCTCTGCCAATTTTCTTTCATCTAAAGCTATTCTATAATTAATGAATACATTATTTTACAAATTCACCCACATTTCCAACATCTAGCAATAAACAGAAACATTCTAATGTATCCTTCATCTTTTTTCCATGTGTATATTTTTTATTTTTTAAAATGGTTTCATATTGTACATAATTCTTCAGTTAACATTCAGTGAATGTATTTCCATGCCATTATAAGTCTACAATATGATTTATATTTATGTCAGAGTAGTTCTTCTCAGGTATATCCCATACATTATTTAGTCAATTATACATTGGCATTTTTATTCTTCCCTAATTCTATTAAATGTATTGAAGAAGGAAGTGTAGGAAATGAAGAGAGTAAGATAAAAGACAGTAATACTGACATATTTGTTTGTTGTGAGAAGAGAGTAGACTGCCTGATGCTACCAAGAGAAATATAATAAGCTGAGAAGCAAGACAGCCAGACACCAGTGTCAGCTTCAGAGAACTCTGAGGGTGGCCTTGAAGTCACTTAATCTCTCCCATTTTTAGTGTCCTTATTTATAAAATGGACTTGATAAGTTATGCAACAATGTCCGTTTCTAAACTCTATTATTGAATATTTTGCAAAAAGGCTGTTAAAAAATGTCATGCAGAGGATATAACCGAGTATATTTAATGTAATAAAGAAGGTATAGAAAATGGATGATAGATACATTTCCTCTACTGTATAGCCAAAAATTTCCCATCACGTGGCACTAATGGAATATATTATATAAAGTGATATAAAGATCTTACAGTTGAATGCAAAAGTGACTCTTTCCACTGAAGGAGAAGAAAGACTAGTCTATGAATGTAGCAAAGAGATTGAGTTTGACTGAATACAAGAAAAGGCAGTCTAACAATAGAATAGGCTTCCTAGAAAAATTTGTGAATTCGGGAATGCTGTAGCATGGGCCAGATGGAGAACTACCTGAGACAATATAGAAGCTATTCCTGTCATCAGTAGAAATTCAAACAGAATGGCCGCCAAGGTCACTTTCAATTTAAAAAGGCTGGAATTTTTATTTAATCTCATATATGATACATTCTTTTAGACACTTGTCCTTAAGCATCGTTGCTGTTTCTGAGCTCTTTGCTGTCTCATTGGTCTCTTAACTGAAGAATCAATTGCAATAGAGAAAAATAAAAGGTATCTATTACGACAAAGAGTCCTTAGCTTGTTTGTATGCATAGATGGGTCCCTTTCTAAGTGTCTAACGAAGAATGGGCACTTTCACTGTTATCAAGAAAGTGTGCACGGAACATCTCTTGAAACTCAATCTTTTCTATGAAGTCATTCCAAAAAGAACAGAAACTTTGGAAAGCAAATCTCCAGTTCACAATCACACTTTAGAGTTTGTCCTCGAAATTTCTTCATACCCTTTCCAGAACATGAACTTGCAAAAATGCCAACACATAACACACACACACACACACACACACACACACACACACACACACACACACATTAATATTAAAGTTTTTGAAGTTAATCTGATCTGAAGCTAAGAATTCCTCACTTTCACACTTCTGGATGCTGAAGGAGGAATTGTATCTGGTGGGAGTTTTCTTTCTTATAAGGTGAAGGAGATTCACTGTTTTCTACAAGTAACTCCAGTGGGTTTCCCTCTACCCACTCAACTCTCTTTTTTTAATTTTTTTCAGGCAGAACTACCTAACTACCTGGTGTGTGTCTAGAAGTGGCTGTTTCTGGAATTCCACTCACAGGGGAAAATTAGCCTAAACTAGATAGCTTGAAACAGTCCTCATGGCTGCGGAGTGGAAGGGGACATTGGGAAAAGGGGACTGAAATCAGCTTTAAGAACTTTCTGTCCTTTAACCTCAAGAATACAGAAAGTGAATGCAACATTTTATGAGAAACCTCATACTGCGTGTAGAGCTTCACTTTCAACACACGCACATGCACATGCACACGCACACAGGCTACTGCTGTTGGACAATGCCTCTTCTCCAGCCACCAGAGCAAGGAAGCAATCCAGGCAGTCCCAACGCACCAGGGATAGATGGGGTCTCCGCAGCCCTCAGCTGCAGCGGGCTGGTCTGTGGAATCACAGCAAGAAAGGTGTTGCGAGGAAATCCCTTGCATGCTGTGTGGTGTGTTAAAAATGCAGCATCATCCTCTCTGCTCCTTTTCTTCACTGAAAAGCAGAATTCGAGGGCACGGGGAAACTGGAGGGGCGAGAAGGCTGCCTCCTGGAGCCCTGGAGCCTTCTCGCTCCTCGCCCCACTCCTTCTCGGGCTCTAATTGCCCCTGCTCCAATGGACCAGCAGCACCTTCATCATTTCCTCTTCCATTCACTCCAGCGGGGAGGGAAGAGGGAACACAAAAGTCTAAAAATAACTGACAGCATCTTTTAAAAAAAAGGAAAAAGCTTATCTGCCCCCCCCCACAAACACCCCCAACGTGCTCCCGCCCTTTCTCCCTCCTTTCCCCTCAGCCCCCCTCCCTTATGGGGCACATGTCTGCTTCTTACAACACCGAGGCACATGGTTCCAGTTAGGCACCGAACCCCACCAGGACAGAGAGGAAATCCACATCTGTGGGACGCTCCGCACGGAACCACCTCCAGCGAGGGAGGCCAGGGGACTGCAGCACCGAGATGAAGGGCTAGACCGAGGGAACGCTGCTCATGCGGTGAGAGCCAGCGCGGGAGGCGGCGAGGGCGCGGGGAGGCCAGGGAGGGGGTGGGCCCCGCGGCGCCCCCGCAGCGCCCGCCGCCCGCCCCCACGCGCGCTGTCGATATTTGCCCGCCTTGCTGCAACTTGCTGCAGTGTTTGAAAGAGTAGTAGGAGCGCATGGAGGTGGGGCCGGGGAAAGACCAGGCGGAGTGGTTGTGGGGTGAGCGCGGAGTGGGTGGGGAGGCGGCGGCGGCGGGGAGGGGGGACTGGCCCCAGGGGGTGGGATGGGGGAGAGCGGGGTAGCCCGGCGCTTACACATGTCACATGTGCTTTTTAAGACGGCCAGGAGCGCCTGCGAGCTGGATCTGGTGGAGGATGCTGCGGCAGGTGCTTCGCAGAGGGCTCCAGTCGTTCTGCCACAGGCTGGGCTTGTGCGTGAGCCGGCACCCGGTCTTTTTCCTCACCGTGCCCGCAGTCCTGACCATCACCTTCGGCCTCAGCGCGCTCAACCGCTTCCAGCCCGAGGGCGACCTGGAGCGCCTGGTGGCTCCCAGCCACAGCCTGGCCAAGATCGAGCGCAGCCTGGCCAGCAGCCTTTTCCCCCTGGACCAGTCCAAAAGCCAGCTCTATTCGGACTTACACACCCCTGGGAGGTATGGCAGGGTGATCCTCCTCTCCCCACCCGGGGACAATATTTTGCTCCAGGCTGAGGGGATCCTGCAGACCCACCGAGCCGTGCTGGAAATGAAGGTGAACCACAAGGGCTATAATTATACTTTTTCCCATCTGTGTGTGTTGAGAAATCAGGATAAGAAATGCGTGCTGGATGATATTATTTCAGTGCTAGAGGATCTCAGGCAGGCTGCCGTCTCCAATAAGACAACAGCCAGGGTGCAAGTGAGGTATCCCAACACTAAATTAAAGGTATGCTCCTTCTGCATGCTTCTGCCAATTAAAGAGGCAGCACTTCATTTCTTGCCCTAAACAAGCAAAGAAAATGCAGAGGTCTCATCCTTAAGACTCAGAAGCTAATGCTTCTTTCATTTCTGGGGGGAAACGATGGGCAACTGAGTGAAGAAAACAGGCAATGAATGGCATGACTAGATACTAAGAAATTCAAGGCCAAACAAAACAAGTGCCAAAAATAAAAAAATAACAAAATTTAAATTTTTTTAAAAAAGTTGTTTCTGAGACCCTGCAATTACATCTTTGTTCAGGGTTAATAAATCAGTGAATGGAAGGGGGAGGGGGAATCCTGAACAATTTGTGGGATTTCTTTTCATTATGGGGCTCAATGTATTTCTTATTACTGATTACACATCCACCTCGTGTCATATCCACCTATTTACATCTTGAGCCTGGCTTGATTGTTAACATGTGGGGAGTTTGTGTTTTGGTGCCCTGTGAGTGTGTGTCTGAAAGCATTGAGTTATGAATGTAGTAGAGGTCAGGAATGATGTGTATGTGTGTTTGCTTAACAAAAGAAGCAGGAATTTTCTATGTATAAAAATAGGAATGTGCACCTAACTGATGTACTAGTTAACTGAAACCAGAGATCTTCCTTTCCCATAAAAAATTCCAGATGAAAGCAAGATTATTACAACAGCCCAATAACAAAAGGAAAGATAAAAAATCACAGTCAGCAAAATTTACAAAGAATGGTCATTTCAGCATGAAATACATTGTGCTGTTTAGACTCTCAATTCAAATTTCATTGTTCAAATGAGATTTCTAAACTCATTCTACACTGTCAAGATTGAGCTGCTGCAGGCAATGAGGCATGCAGTCTCCAGGTGACTGAAGTTTCAGGGACAAATGTGAATTCCAAAAGAGTCACTGCACCATTTGTGTGTTTGACCCTGTGCATGCCCAGAAGCTGCACAGCCAAGAACTCCCAAGACAGGTGTTTCCCAAGAAGAATAATTTTTTTTTAATGTGTGTGAGGATATGTGTGTGTATCTGTGGAGACAGTGGAATAGAAGACCCCCGTTTCAATAAATGAATGGCCTAATATAGGAAATCACTAATATTCCTACTTATTTGATATAGTCAGCATCTATAACATAATAAAAATAACTTTTTCAGAAGTTTTGAGAGAAAAATATCTTTTTCCTAAATTGAAGGAGGATTTAATGCACTTTGAAACTAGAGATTCCTCAGGAAATCTTATAATCTGCCTTTTTTTTTTTTTTAACATGATGCCCTCATTTAAATGAACCAAAGGCTGACAAGGGTTTCAGCTTTACAAAGCTGAGCAGTCCCTTGATGCTTGGTGAAATGAAACAGATGATTTATCAGCTTTAAATCTAGGTTAGGGCTTGCCTGCTTCAAACTTATTGATGAGAGCATGATGGATATGTGTGGTTAGGCAGCATGCTTTTCATTTCCCAAATCATTTGCCATCAACATTATTGCTTGCTAAGGAAAAGGATGTGGTGGAGAGGTAATCTTTCTAACCCATACTCTTTTAATTGAGTTTTTTCCTATACCAAACACCTGGAGTGAGAAAGATTTGAACTTTGTCAAATTTAAACTACAGTTTGTTCTCCTATGGAGTCAACTTTGCATTATTGGTTGGGTCCTCTAGTGCTTTTATTCAGCGGTATTCTCCAGGTGTAAAATTGTTGTTCAATCAGCCATTGACAATATTTTGTTTTCTGCCAATATCATTATGCTATTTACAGTATAAAATCCCTGAGGTATTCAACTTACTCATTGAATAATCGTTCGTTGTACTCTTATGATTTATTAAATGCTCTTCTAAGCATGTGAGACAGAGTTTGGAGCAAGAAAAGAAAAGTTCTCATTCTCGTGAGGCTTAACAGTAGTAGTCTGGGTGACAGGGTGAGACCCTGTCTCAAAAAAAAAAAAAATGTAGTAGATGTCAGTGTCCTCACTACAGTAATCTGCAAGCAGGAACTCTGCAATCTTTGAGTTCACCATTGATTCAGCAGCATGCTAGGCCTATAACAGGTGCTCCATGAAAACTTTATGCTGTTTGGTGGTTGATACACATCTTAGAGGGAGTCAGAGGGTAATCACAAAAGAAGGGAATAATTGATTACAAATGTTAATATCATAATAGCATAAAAAGAACAGAAGCATTACACATTAGCTAAAGTTCTTATTCTGCAATATTCTAATATCTATCAATGTTTCCTCAAATGTGTTGGCTTGACTCTCTCTGCATGGCATCACCGGGGATCTTTAAACTATGTTTGGGTAAATTGGGCTTTTGAGATCTTCTGATCTCAAGTATTCAGACACAATCTCACATAATATAAAATATAATATATAAAACATAGTCTTAAGAGTACCATGGATGCCTAGAATCTTGTCAAAGGGTCTCCAGGGGCTCCCAGGATCAGAACTCTCTGGCAGACAGCAAGATGAGATGGACTTTTGTTTTAATTACATGTTATTTGGAAATGATTTTGGTTCCTATTTTTCAGGGGGCTCACAAAGTGTGCTTCTATGATGCTGATACTTACTAACGTGTGAAAACTCCTCTTATGCAAGATTTGAGGAACAATTCTATATGTGTATTTTTTAGACCTCAAATTCGTTTTGCTTTCTCCTGTTCTGCTGGGACACCTTTCTTCCCAAGTCTGACCAATATGAAAAATTTTAGTACTGGAGAATGCTATTGGTAGGCAGAAAATCAGGAAATTGCAGAATAAATGGGGGCGGCTGCGTGAGTATGAACTGGCAATTACTTGACATGAAAGAAGCAGGTCCGTGTTTAGAGACAGGCTGAAGATGTATAAACACTGGTTGACCGACAGAAGTGGTCAGAAACCTTTGTTATAACAACAGAAGGTCATCTTTCAAATATTATTAAGACACCTAAGGGGTCCTGGACACAGAAAGGTTTAGAACTTCTGATAAACATGATTATGTTGACAAGGTGATCCAGACAAGCAGGGATACAGAAAGGTGCCTTCTGTGGAATTCCAAACAGAGGCTTAGATAAAGCTGGTATGAAAAAAGCAGCCATTGACTTAGAATACCACAGAAGAAATGGAGCATATACACAATTTCAAAAGCTGCATAGAAAAGATGCCAAAATCTGAAATCCCTACATCTATACGACACGACCTCTACAATTATTTCCTTCATTACAATCTTTCTTTTATATCCCTCACTAGGTACAAGAATCATATCATGTATTCTGTCTGTACTGTTCACTTTCCCCACACCAACCTAATCCAGTTCCATGTAGATCATATTCACAAGAAA